TCTTTGAACTTCAACCCCGCACCTTTGTAACTGAGTCAGTTAAAGTGGGATTTATAATCTCACTGCCACGGATTGCTTCCACAGCCCCCGGTTCCAGTGCTCTCAACCCCCCTGCCATGGCCATGGCTCCTGCCATCTGCGGGCCCGGGGAGAGCCATGGTGGGTGCTGACAGGTGGAGGGGAGAGAGGAGAGTGGATGAACATCCGCTCCCCTCCTCTTCTATGTGATCTGGAAGGTGTCATCCATGACATCACTTCCAGGTCACGGCTGTCACTGTCAAGGTCCTACCTTTTCCTGAGGTTATGTTACTCCATGTGCTGGCGTCCATCTTGGATTCTGCTGTGCATGGTGGGAATCCTTTTTATGCCTTCAGGTCTCTGAGGTCCACCCCCCAGAGGGGCGTGGCTGATGACATATAAGCCTGTGGCCCGCACATGCTCTTTGCACTTGTGTCTTGTGTCTTTGTGTTACTATTACTCTGTTCTGACTCTCGTGACTCTCCTGGTATTCTGATTCGGCTTGTGACTTGACTATTCTTTGTATTCTCCTTTGATCTGACCCTCTGTTGCTGAACCCGGCTCGTGACCTGTGATTCTCGCCTGCTGTCCTGTACTGTTTTGTCCTGTTGTTGTTGACCCCGGCCTGTCTGACTACTCTTTTGTCTCTTCCACCAGCTACACGCCATTGGCGGCGGCCATTACCGCAGCTGAGGTGTCTCGGGGGTCGCGACCCGGTTCCTGGCTGCGTCAAGTCCATTCCCCACCATCAGGGGCCCTGGTGAAGGGCAGCCTGGTCCGTTCCTCGGCTCCTGCCCTGACAGTCACATTCCTGACTAGAATAGCCAGGGAAAGATCTATTGCGATACGGTTTGCATTGCAATACATCTAATGGATCACAGAGGAGACCTACAGGGTCTTTCAGACCCTGCATGTCTCAATAAAGAGAACCTGTCACCAAAAAAAAAAAAAACATAGGAGACTGTCTGTTCCCTATCTGATGAAAATAAAAATTTGCATTTTAAAAAAAAATTTATTTTGGTAAAAACTAAAATTTACAACCAAGCACATAACATCCCCCCCCCCCAAAAAAAAAATTGAGTAACACTAAACTGATGACCTGTAGGGGCTTTTGAAACATCACCTATAGAAAATAAAGGGTACGGAAGTTTGTCGCCATTTCATAGGCACATACGATTTTAAGGCTTGGCATGTTGGGTCTCTGTTTACTCGGCACAACCTCATCTTTTATATTTCACCAAAAATGTGGGTAATTTATTGCGTTTGTTTACCCTAAAATTTATTTTAGTTTGATTTGTACTGAAATTTTGCGTTTCCTAGACCTTTGCAAATATATAAAAAGTTGGAGCTAAAACTGGCTAAATGACCTCTCTAGTGACCCTCTTCTCGGATAGCTCCTCCCTGTCACTGAAATATCTATGGTGAAGTTTATCTGATAATCCCCATCCATGATCACATTATGACAATATACTGCCTGAACTTATTTATCGTACCTCCTGTAGTTTTTTTTTAAAATTATTTTTGGTCGATAACCGGGTCAGGATGCATCGCAATCCTTACTACTGGGCATCCTGTATACATGCCTATTATTTTGTTACCTGTATGCCATGTGTTCAGACATGTATTTGCAGCATTTCTAAACTGCTTGTACTACTCTGTATCACTTCTTTGTTGAAATCAATAAAAAACATTTAAGTGAAAATAAAAAAAAGTTGGAACTACCACTATTTTATTCTCTAGGGTGTCTGCTTGCAGCAAAATATACAATGTTTGGGGGTTTGTGTAATCTTCAGGCCTAAAATGATTTTTTAAACGTGTGCAAAAGAAAATTGCAAAATAACTCTGCCAGCAAAAGGGTTCAAAGTAGTGGAAAGCATAGACTCAGAATGACTTTGTTCCAGTTCAAACAATATCAAAAACCACATAAAAGATTAAACTAAACAGAAGTAGTATCACTTTCGAAATTGTTGGTGCTTTTGAGTTTTGACTGATTGTATTTTAACTTTTTTTAAATTTTGTACTTTAACCATTTGCCGCCCAGCCTATAGCCATTTGGCGGTCGCAAAAATGCATTAGCTTTCCGGGGTGTACACCATTTGGCATCCTCCCGCACATGCGCAGTTCGCGCGGTTGCAGAGCCGCGCAGCGGCGCGATCTGTCACCGGCCGTGTACCTTGGACATGGCCGATGACAGATCTGAGTACCAGCCCCTGTTGCTGGTACCATGTGACCTGCTGTGACCAATCACAGCAGGTCACATGACAGTTGTATACAATGGATGGCTTCATTCATGCCATCCATTGTATACTAGTGTCAAACTGTCAATGGTCACAGCAGGTCATATGCACATGTCATGTGATTAGCTGTGGCCAAATCACAGCTAAGCACAAAAATAAAAAAAATAAAAAAAACCTGAATGAATTATGTCATTCAGGTAAATGCTTGCTTATAGCAAAGTAATTCTTTGCTATAAGCAAATTGTGTAAAAAAAAAAAAAAATACTGATCACTTCCCCAAAGTAGTACAATGTTACTATGGTAACATTGTACTACTTTGGTCATAGTAAAATATGAAAAAAAAATCTTAAAAAGTAATAAAAAATTTAAAATAATAAAAAAATAAAAAATAATTTATTTTTTTTTTCATACTGTCACCAGTCAGTGTCCCTGTTCACCGCCATGCCAGTTATATGATGATGCAGTACTGCACTGGTGACAGTATGTAAAAAAAAAAAATAGTGAAAATAATTTTTTTAATTTTTTCATTTTCCGAAAAATTATGACAAAAAAAATACAACTTCAAAAAACTCGCCATGCCTCTTATGAAGTATGTCGGACTGTCTACTCTGCAAAAGGGGTCATTTGGGGGATATCTGTACTGTTCTGATATTCTTGGACCTCAAGAAATTAGATTGGCTGTCAGTACTTCAGGATTGATCAATATTCAGATCTATACCATAGTTTGTGAACTCTATAACTTTCCTACAAACTAAAAAATACATCCTAATTTGGGTTATTTTCACCAAAGACATGTAGCAGAATACATCTCGGCCTAAATTTATGAAGAACAATTATTTATTTGTAAACTTTTATAACAGAAACAAAGAAAAACGTGTTTTTTTTTTCAAAATTTTTGGTCTTTTTTTGTTAATTTAGCAAAAAATAAAAACCCCAGCAGTGATTAAATACCACCAAAAGAAAGCTCTAGTTGTGTGAAGAAAATGATAAAATTTTAGTTTGGGTACAATGTTGTATGACCGCGCAATTGTCATTCAAAGTGTGAGAGCGCTGAAACCTGAAAAATGGCCTGGGCAGGAAGGTGTAAAATTGCCCGGTATTGAATTGGTTAAGGGCTCCATGTACACTGCAGCTGATAAACCCACGTTCAGGAGCTTTTTCTGCATTTTATTTTCAGCAGCCCCTGAATCCTCCCTAATGTTTTCCTATGTGTCCATGTACACATCATCATTTACAGTAGTTTACAGGCAGTTGAGTTTACAGTCGTTTTTTTGAATGCACCAAACTTGAGTTCAGGAGTAGATTTTATAGCGTTTCAAACGCCAAACGTTAGTAAAAGTGACTAACTGCGTTTATAAGCTTTTGCATTTAGAAGCGTTTTTTAACTGTTCCATATACAAATGCTGTCCAGAGCCTTTTTTCATCATCAGAAATGCATGCAAAGCGTTTTCCATGTATTCAAATGGATCTAGTACACCAGTCAGTTTCAGGTTTTGCGTGAAAGAAAAAATGGTAGAACGTGCCGCATAATGCTCATGATGGGATCCATAGTGAATACAACCAGAAAAGACAGGTCATCTCAACACATACTGCTCTCTCTCTGCTTCTGCTCTCTACTTCTCTCAAAATGTCTGAAAGAGTTAATTTTTTACTGTTTTTCAGTGCATTCTGGGCATTTTGGAAGGTCCCCTGAGGTTATCTTAAAAAAAACGCTTCTAAACAGCATAAACTGGCATAAACGCGGTATGCAAACACGGCTAAACAGACTTTTTTTAACCTACGTTTTCCAGCAGTTTCCATCGCTCAGAAATGTTTTCCAAGCATCCCGTGTACATGGAGCCTTCCTGTATTTGTATACTCTCTTGATGTACAATTATTTAAGCCCGTGCTTTTTAAATTGTTAAGAAAGCTTTTATCTAAATATTAATATAGACTGATAAAAAGGGATGTTTTGTTTCTGTATTCTAGTAAAAATAAATAAAAACATTTTTTTTTTCTTTAAACAAGCAAAAGACTATATGATATAATCATCCACAAACATAACTTTGATAATAGAGAATCTTTACTGTTAAAATGAAACATTCTTATTTAAAAGCATATGCCCATAAATAAATATCTGAAAATGCACATCTCTTGAACAGAAAACATTATAAAAATGTATTTTATTACATATTTTGTAATATGTTCTATACTTCGGTTTCCTCCCACACTCCAAAGACATGCGGGTAGGTTATTGGATCCCTATCTAAATTGTCCCTAGTATGTGTATGTATGAATGTGAGTTAGGGACCTTAGATTGTACGCCCCTTGAGGGTTAGGGACTGATGTGAATGTACAATATATATGTAAAGTGCTGCGTAATTGATGGCGCTATATAAGTACCTGAAATAAATAAATAAATATCATGCCTGTTAATAAACAGCACTGTGATCTCATTAACCACTTGCCCTCCTGAGGATTCCCCCCCTTCCTGACCAGGCCATTTTTTGCAATACGGCGCTGTGTTACTTTAACTAACGTGGTCATGCAATGCTGCACCCAAATGTAATTTGTGTTCTTTTTTCGGTGGTACTTGATTGCGTTTTTTATTTTGTACGCTATAGACAAAAAACCCAACACTTTTGAGAAAAAAAAAAATTTTTTTATTTTTTGCTATTGAACATGTCCAGTAAAAAATTTAATTTCGTCATAAATTTAGGCCAAAATGTATTCTGCGACATTGTCTTTGCTAAAACAAAATACATGTAAATTAATTGGTTTACGTGAAAGTTATAGTGTCTACAAATGGTGGTATATATACTGGATTTTTTTTTTATACTAGCAATGGCAGCAATCAGCGAATTGTAGCGGGACTGCGGTGGGCATTCTGACACTGGTGGGAACTGACTGTCCCTGACATCCCCAGTGACACTAATACAGTGATCAGTGTTAATAAAAAGCACTGACACTGTACTAATGGCACTGGGCAGGAAGGGGTTAATATGAGGGGCGATCAAAGGGTCAAAAGTATGCTGTGTGTGTTTTACCTTGCAAGCACATTGCTTTTTATGGCTCTGCTATGCAGAGCAAAACAAAGCAGCGTGCTGGAGCTGACAGGGGAGAGATCTGTATTGTTAACCTATAGACATCTCCTCCATCAGTGATACTCGGCGATCGCCAGATGCCAGCGGGGAATCTCGGACCGGGACCCGGTGATTGACACCTGTAGCTGCCAATGACGGTGCACGTAGGGCGGTGGGCGTGCGGGCCCCCCACGCGAAAATACAAAATCACACATATATATATATATGTGTGTGTGTGTGTATATATATATATATATATATATATGTGTGTATGTGTGTGTGTGTATATATATATATATATATATATATATATATATATATATATGTGATTTTGCACAGCCCTGCCTCCCTGTAGCTGTATTTCTGCTATAGGACGGTCAGGAAGCTGTTAAAGCGGAATTTCCCCTTTTTGGGTGGAGCTGTGCTTTAAGGGAAAAAAGCCTTTCCAAACCTGCCTGGCCCTATGTCAAAAAGTAATTGCCCCCCTAAACCTAATAACTGGTTGTGCCACCCTTGGCAGCAACAACAGTAATCAAGTGTTTGCAATCACTGGCAATGAGTCTTTTATATCTCTGGGGAGGAATTTTGGCCCCATTCAGCCCCATTGAAGGGGTTTTGAGCATAAACGGAATGTTTAAGGTCATGCCAGGGGTGTATTTACCACAAGGCAAACAAGGTATTTGCCTAGGGTGGCATTTTTTGGGGGGCAGCACTGCCCCCCCCCCCCGGAAGAAGGGACATATGCAGCATGGGGACCAGGTGAGATCTGAGACAGGCTGTGGGTTACTTGATGGTGTATGCAGAGCCCAACTGTTGTTCCTGGGGATGGCCAGAGTCGTGGGGGGGGGGGGGGGGGGGGTGTTAGTGGAAGGCTCTCTTGTGTGGGGGGTGTCCAATTTTTGTGTTGCCTAGGGCAGCACAAAACCTAAATACACCACTGGATCATGCCAGATCTTTGTGTAATATTAGAATTTTTTTGATTATATGAATCATTTAAGTGTGACAAATATGCGAAAAAAACCTTTTTCACAGCACTGTATATATGCATTGACCATCGATAAGCAAATTAAAAGTCAGAAATATGTACACATTTACATTCATATGAAGGTTTCTGTCCAGCATAGTAGAAAGGTCAGTTTCTAAATTGATATTTTGTATAATCTTTATTTGAATTAGATCCATATTTTAAAAATAATACATAGGACTTCCATGCTTCGAAATATATATATTCACAAGAAATGTTCCTAAATATGAGCCAAAAGTACGACCTGGATGTTTTTTCTTAAGATTTTCTTTAACAAATTTTGTTGATTCCTTTCTACAAAAATGCCAACACTTAAGTTTGCTTTATAAATCTGCAATATATTGTATTTAGAGAAAAAAATATCTGCATCCTTACCAGTCAGAAGAATAAGACAGATCAGGATGATCAGAGGACTTTTGTAGTAGATGAGAACAATCTTCATCTTGTCACAGAGAAGGATATGGGTGGAAAGATATGTTCAATGACGACCTTTCTCTTTTAAGTGCTAGGACTGCCCATTACTGGCTGTCTTTACTGCAAAGGGTTATAAAGGTGGTCTGACCATTTCCGGCTGTTTTTGTTCTTTTACAGTAGAATTAGTAGCAAAGAATTATTTAAAGGAAGTTCTGGTCATTAAATTGCGGTAAGAACTATTAGACAAGCAGCCATTTGCAAATTAGTTAGGATTTAATAGAATTCAAGTCAAACAGCTAAATACTGAAAATTTATTTTGGACCCATTCACACCAGTGTGGTGTGGTATGGCATCTTGTTATTCTGAATGGCACCCGATTGCAACTTTACAGTGCACCTGCATTGCAGCTAAACATGGGATAATGAACTGCCATGCATTGTGGTGCACTGCCATAAGTGCTGGGTGGACAATGTTTAGTCTGTCCAAATAAATGTTTGTGCTGAAGACTGCGCTGGACTGACTGGATCAGTCACATCGTAGGTGGGTGGTTGAGTGGGTGGGTAGGGAGTCAGTTGAACCCAATGGATATTGGTGGGTAAACCCACTTAGGGTTTAGGCTGCCGCCTTTCTGGTACTGCCTTGAGGTTGTTTCCACATGTAGACTTGGAATAGTAGAAAAGAAGGAGCACCCGATATCCAAAAGAATGCACTTTTGATGGTAGATTAGGAGGCATTTATGGAGAGTAACGACAAGTACATCAAGCCAACGTGTTCCGGGATAAAAGACTCTCCCTTCTTCAGGGTTGTTGCTGCATGCTATTAAATGGGAAAAATTCCCACGCTGGTTATATATTTTCCAGGTTTTGGAAGAAAAAATTACCGCTGTCATGCCAGGGGATGCCCCTCTGAAGGAATGGCTGGTTATGATGGATCCTCTCTTTCAGGACTCGACCTTCTCAAAGACCTCAGTCCCTCTGACACACGGCCTTTTCTCCCAAAACACGTTGGCTTGATGTACTTGTCGTTACTCTCAATAAATGCCTCCTAATCTAACATCAGAAGTGCATTCTTTTGGACATCGGGCGCTCCATTTCTATTTGTTCAAATAAATGGACTGCCCTCTTGAAATGCACGTTAGTGCCTATGCTTGTAATGCACACAATGGACCAGGCTGGTCAGAATTGGTCCCATAGCTGTACTGTCATAAACACTAAAAGATTTGTCATTTTGCATTCTGGGGTTACAGGTGCAGTGAACACATTAGAATGCATTGGATTATTATAATGCTTCCACAATGAAGGTTTGTCATTCTATGAACACTTTAAACCAGTCTCAGTGTTAAACGTGTTCAGAAAATACTGTACATGATCATACAAGCCAAGATTTTAGCAAACTGATTGCCACAGGCACTATGAGCCTCATAGTTTTGAAGAACGCTGTTCCACTTTCAACTGGTGTCCTTAGCATTAATGTATTACCAGCAGGGCTTTGTTTCAGCGAAAACGCAGGGAAGTGCAGTTCCGGCACCTCCAGGAAGCACAGAATTCACGTAATGGCAAAGGGGGCTGGGGTGTGCTGAAGGGTCTATTGATGTTGATTTCTGGTGATCTATTGTAGCTGGGGTGTAGTGCTAATGGGGGAGTCTAATGTTTTTGGGGGATCTATTGTTGCTGGTGGGGATATATTGTTGGGCTGGGGTTCTTATGTTGTTGGGGGAATCTGCTGTTGAGGGGGGAGGGTCTATTGATGCTGGCTGCTGAGGTATCTATTGTTGCTCTGGGGTTCTTATGTTGTTGGGGATCTGGCGTTGAGGGGGAGATTCTATTGATGCTGGCTGCTGGTGTATCTATTGTTGCTCTGGGGTTCTTATGTTGGGGGATCTGCTGTTGAGGGAGGTCTATTGATGCTGGCTGCTGGGGTATCTATTGTTGCTCTGGGGTTCTTATGTTGTTGGGGGATCTGCTGTTGAGGGGGAAATTCTATTGATGATGGCTGCTGAGGTATCTATTGTTGCTCTGGGGTTCTTATGTTGTTGGGGGATCTGCTGTTGAGGGGGAGGTTTTATTGATGCTGGCTGCTGGTGTATCTATTGTTGCTCTGGGGTTCTTATGTTGTTGGGGGATCTGCTGTTGAGGGAGGTCTATTGATGCTGGCTGCTGGGGTATCTATTGTTGCTATGGGGTTCTTATGTTGTTGGGCGATCTACTGTTGAGTTGGGTCTATTGATACTGGCTTCTGGGGGATCAATTGTTGCAAGCAGGCATTTATTGTTGCTGGGGCAGATCTATTTTCTTTCTGGGTAGGGAGTCGATTGTTGCTGTAAAGGATCTGTTGTTGCTGGGGGTCTATTTTCATTAATCAATTCCATACAAATTACTTAACACCACAAAATGATACTTGGCTCTAGTCTCTAAGGAGCAGTACTAGGATGGTGGATAGAGGGCAGAGACAAGGGGCAGTGCTCAGTGGTAGGTCAGGGGTGGAGACAAGGGGGAAAAACTGGAGTACCCGCACCTATTCTCTGAGAAAAAAAGCCCTGATTACAAGTAGACCATGACTGACATCACCAAAGCCAATTCCTGCCCTGGATGATCAAAAATGTTAGACACTCACCCCAAGAACCACAGGACTGAGCCCATGCCGAGTTCCATACCTATGTGCACGCGCTGCTATAAGGTGCGAAGATTGTCCTATGCATGCGCAGGTTTGGTTTTTAGCAGGCTCAGTCCTGTGCTGCTGGGATCTAACCTTTGGATCTTCCTCAAATTTGGGCAGGACATTGCTGACCACTTCAGTAGGAGTTTTTGTGCAGGACCTTGGGATTGTCGGTCATGGACTACTCGCACGGCATTACAAATCAGGACACTACTTGAAAACTGCACTGCATTTGTTAACACACTTGATCAAGTACAATATTCCCATTGCACACGTTCCTGAAAAATTGCTGTAAATGTAAGTGTAAAGACATCCAAAGCAGAAAGTATGTCTCCAGCACACCAAGGATCTCCAAAGCAGGTCCAAAGCTTTATTCAGCGATCACATCGTAATGGCAACGTTTCAGAGCCTTGCAGGACCCCTTCATCAGGCAGGTGTTCTGGTGACATGCTCTCTGCTTTATGAACACACTTGAGCCCCTAGATGACATGGTGTATTTAATTCAGCCCTAAATGCATATATAAACCCATAAACGTCAATTATTACAGTTTACCAGTCCTTAGATGAGATGGAGGGCTGTCCTTTTGTTCAAAAAGACTACAAATATGTCTGCCGTCTCCATTGCATGGGGAATGGGGAGACTAGTAGCTAACAAAGTTAGGGTTATTTTTGCCTTCACTGCTTTTTTAGCATGATCTGCATTTTAAAAAGGTCTATAGGTATTTACTGTACTTACTTCATAATTCACCTATTACATACTTCATTTTTAGTAAGTCTAGTATCCCCACTCAGGGCCAGTAGCCCAACATGTTTTATTAGTGCTGGCCCAAGGGATGAATGCCCCCCCTACCACAGCCC